TTTATCTTTATCTTCAATAATATTCAAGATAACAACCAAAAACTGCAAAACTTCCTTAAAATAACCAATTTAGTGGCAGCAACCCAACAATGGGTTGTTCGGTTTATCTGAAAATTTCAGGGCTGATAGATCTTGACCTTTTAAACATTTTTACCCAATGTCAGATTTGCTCTAAATGCTTTCGTTTCTGAGATATAAGCCAAAAACTGCATTTGACCCCTATGTTCTATTTTTAGCCATGGCGGCCATGTTTGTTGATTGATCAAAAATTCGGATATAATTCATAAACTAAATTCCTAAAGGAACATTCATTTAAAGTTAAGAAGTATAAGCACAATAGTTTCAGAGGAGAAGATTTTTAAATGTTAGCAAACTTGATGAACACATTGTGTAAAATTGTCTTTAAAGCTTTAAGGGCAATAACTCCTTAAGCAGTCAATTGACAATTTTGGTCATTTAACTTTTTTGTAGATCTTACTTTGCTGAACATTATTGCTGTTTACAGTTTATATCTATCTATAATAATATTCAAAATTATAACAAAAAACTGCAAAATTTCCTTAAAACTACCAATTTAGTGGCAGCAACCCAACAATGGGTTGTTCGATTCGTCTGAAAATTTCAGGGCTCATAGATCTTGACCAATTGAACAATTTAACCCCTGTCAGATTTGCTCTAAAAGCTTTAGTTTTTGAGATATAAGCCAAAAACTACATTTGACCCCTATGTTCTATTTTTAGCCATGGCAGCCATGTTTGTCAATGGATCAAAACTTCGGATACAATTTATAAACTAAATACCCTAAGGAATGTTTAGTTAAAGTTTTAAGGTATTTGGCCTAGTAGTTTCAGAGGAGAAGATTTTTAAATGTTAGCAAACTTGATGAGCAAATTGTGTAAACTCGTCTTTAAAGGGCAATAACTCCTTAAGGGGTCAATTGACAATTTTGGTCATCTTTACTTTTTTGTAGATCTTACTTTGCTGAACATTATTGCTGTTTACAGTTTATATCTATCTATAACAATATTCAAGATAATAACAAAAAACTGCAAAATTTCCTTAAAACTACCAATTTAGTGGCAGCAACCCAACAATGGGTTGTTCGATTCATCTGAAAATTTCAGGGCTGATAGATCTTGACCAATTGAACAATTTCCCCTCCCCCATGTCAGATTTGCTCTAAAAGCTTTAGTTTTTGAGATATAAGCCAAAAGCTGCATTTGACCCCTATGTTCTATTTTTAGCCATGGCTGCCATGTTTGTCAATGGATCAAAACTTCGGATACAATTTATAAACTACATACCCTAAGGAACATTTATTTGAAGTTTGAAGGTATTTGGCCTAGTAGTTTCAGAGGAGAAGATTTTTGAAATAGTTTACGACGACAGACGACGACAGACGACAACAGACGACGACGACGACAGACGACGACAGACGACGACGACGGACGACGACGGACGCCAAGTGATGGCATAAGCTCACATGGGGTCCTTCGGGCCCCGGTGAGCTAAAAATGAATACAACACACACAATTGACAAAGTGGTTAATCTGATGGCATAATTGATTACATATGAACAGAAACTAACATTTCCCTCGCAAAACAAAAATTACAATTGGGAGGGGCACTTTTTTTACTCCAAATTTTTATCATAATTTATTTTTAGTTTTCTTCTTATCATCTAAAACAGGAATACTGTTGATTTCAGATCATTTTGAGCATTTTTCTACAAAGATATAAGCCCTTAAAGTTTTACCCCTATCAATCTCAATGGAAGTGTTGCAAAACTTTCTTTGAGTAGTGTAGAGATACATTTTTGTGTGTTTATGCGTTTATTCCTTTATTTCCCATTCATCTTACTTTTGATAGTGCGATAGTTGACCTTGAGTATCAATGGAGGCAAAACATATAAACTATGTTTCCAGATAGATAAATAAATATCTTATTATCTGAAACAGAATAAATGTCTCATTTTATTTAAGAACAAGGAAACTTTTGGTCTCATTTTAAGGGGGGGGGGGCTCTTTTAACTTTAAATTAGATCTCATTTTGGAATCAAATATTACTTTAATAGCATACAGAAATAAATTTATTGGGAATAAAAACATTTTTGTCTGCAAGTCCAGATAATCATTGAGGATTAAGTAATATCTACTGTGTAGTAATTTTATCTGGGGATTAGTCATCTGGGGTCTGGGGCTGTATTGTACATCATGAGTGTAGAAACTTTATCTCCTGCCTGAGGCCAATGTATGCTATGGTCAAATAAGGAAGTGGATTAGCCAGTTATTGGGAGGGACAATTAAGATCAGATTATTGCATGAACTTGGACATGCAGTCATTCAGCTAATTTCTCTGAAAGAAGAAACATCTTTTATTTGAAACTTGGAAAATATTTTGTAACTTTTTGCAAAAACCCACCCATCTTTCACCCAATTTTAATGACAGTTTTAATCATTAATTTTTACTGTTATTATTTTATCATCTTGAGATACTAGATATGTGATGCTTCACAAGATTATTTTTATTGTATTTGTAGTAGTATTTTACTATTTGTTCCTGTAATGTATGATATACTGGTTGGGGCATTTTCTAAACCCCACCTTTGCTTTTTAATGTCATTGTCATTTATTTGCTACTATTGATATTGTTAATATGTCATTCTCAATTAATGATAAATTTTGAATAAATGACATTTTGCTCAACTTGAGTTTTATATTAACAGCAAACTTAGCTCGGCCTCCCTATAGGTTGTTGAACATCATCTTGAGGAACCTTGGCTGTCAAAAATACAGCTTTGTTAAAATATATGTCATATCTTTCATATGACGCCCAAACGTGCAATGTTCATTGCTATGTGTAAGAATGAAAGGAGATGTCAGGTATACGCCAATGAGACAGCACACCATCGACAAAAATAGCTACTATATACAGTTTTTACCAATAGACGGATAGCATTACAATATGACAAGCTCTAAATCGTCCCGACTCAATAAAAGTTGTGAATAAATTAAACAGAAACAATCAAAATCAAAGATTTTCCATTAGCACAACATCGTGCAACTAACAAACAAACAAAAAAACACATTTAGGTATAACCTAAGACAACCACTGACAATGTGCCTGACTGGGACCGACAAAGAAAATGAGGCTTGGCTAAACTAGTTTTTTTAGATTTCAACCCTCCCCCTTTTTTATTATCTTGACCAATAAACAAACAAAATATACATACAAGAAAATACGATTAAAAATTAGTGCAGGAAAAGCGCGAGCTCAAAGTACAAAAGGTGTCTACTCTTTGTACGCATACATGTACCAATTAAACTAGATAGGTACTAAAACCTATACAGTTCGGTGAATTATTCGTCATTTTCCAGAATTTGGTTTTCTTCTTTGGTGATGGGTTTTATTTTTGGGAAATATAAAAGTATTAATTCCAAATACATTGTGTGGTGTTAAAGGTTCAGTCTGTTTTAAATCTTTTCTTGACATCAATAATGCTGTCAAATCTTCATTGTATTTAACGAAACTTCGAGAGAAGCTTCTATATATTCAAACGACAGTATCAAGGGCATAATTTTAAGAAAAAAAATTTCATTTCTTCATATTTTTCTGATAAAAAGACTGGGTGTGTTTTTCTCCATTTTCTTTTTTAGATACTGTTTAAGGTATAAAAGAATGTAGCGGTCAATAACATTGTGAAACCTTCGTGGAATTTTACGAAACATGGACAAAAGCTTCTTTCTGATCAAAAAAAAAAAACAGTATCCAGAGCGAAACTTTGAGAATATTTTATTTTTTTCCTTAATTTTTCTGTATTTTACAGAAAAATTGACTTATTTTTTATGCAGTTAACTCTAATACACATAGTCTGGTGTTAGCCAATTACACATCGATTTGTTTATGAAACTTTGACAGAAGCTTTTTTTTATGATAAAGAGATAACATCTAATGAAAAATTTACCGTATTTAACTGATAGGTGGACTTCGTTTTTTGCAGTTATGCATACAGTCTGGAGTTGTTAAGTGCATCTATCATTAGTAGAGGAAGTAACGATATGGATGATAATAAGACTTCGTTCTGTGTATTCAAAGTTTTTTGTGTAGTGTTTTTGCATTCCCCCCCACTTCGACAACAATAATAGAATGATAAACACGTCAAACACGAAGCCGGTTAGTATTAAGCGTTTATTTGTTAGTCTTCGAGGGTATCACCAGCCCATGCCAGTAGCCATTTCATCGGTACTGGCATGAAAATACGGATATTATTTGATTGGCTGTTATAAGTATTGGAAATCATTTTAAATTAAGGAATATATCTCCCTTATGCAAAGCTCTGATTCCTTATCAGAATTTGGCTATAACTTACGTCCTTTATGTTATAATCAGCTCTTCGACGTTTTTATTCTGTTTAGGTTTTCAAATATTTCGGCCTCGAGCATCAATGAAGAGACATGAATTGTCGAATTGCGCACCTCATGAAGTAAAAGAGCGGCGAAAGATACCAAAATGATATTCAGACTCACAAGTCGAAAACAAACTGACAATGCCATTGCAAAAAACGAAAAACGACGAAAAGACAAACAACAATACATAAAACACAATATAGAAAACTAAAGACGGAGCAACATGAACCCCACCAAAAATCGAGGGTAATCTGAGGTACTCCAGAAGGTTAAGCAGATCCTGCTCTACCTGTTGCACCCGTCGGGTTGCTCATGTAATTACAAGCTCAGTAAAGTTGGTACCGTTAATGTTATCACATCAATTAAACGGAAATTTATCACGATACAAAACAACTTTTATTTCAATCTATCAATTTGTCACTGAGAAATGACGATTTTAAGACTGCAGTTGTTCATATTACATCAATACATGCTATAAAAACAATCATTATGTTACATTTCAAAAATAACATGTAATCCAATTTGATATTAATATTTTCAGAATCACCAATGAATATCGATTTGTAATTTGTTTATTGACTGTAAAGAAACCAATCACAAGACAGTGTCGATCATGCTACTTTTATCTAAAGTAACTTCTGTTACTGATGATTCCTTAATTTGAGATATAAGGTCTAAGAAATAAGAGTTTCCTTTTGCTTCTGTTGGACTGCTCCTTTTCTTCTTGTTAGGAGAAACCATTAGAGTAATTGTTGATAATCTTTTTTCTGCCTTTAACGGTTTTTTGCGATTGCAAACAGGAAAACTAAGTAATCTTTTTAACTTTATTCTAAATGTCTTGTTGATCCAACAATAAACCATCGGATTGATACCTGTATTGCTAATTGCTAGCCAATGAAAACACAGCCACAGTATGTGAGCAAACATATTATCATATAATGCTGGATTAAGATCGCCAATAATGGTCAAGATATGAATTGGAAGCCATGTGATTGCGTAGACGGATACCACGATGAATAACATTTTCAAACTCTACAATAGAAAAGGTGACATTAGATAAGAGTGTACAATATGCCATATGTAATTTTAGATCAAAGAAAATAATGTACAATAAGTACTCAACAGGTATTTCCCTTTTAAAAAATCTATTTTACTGTTTTAACGCAAAAAGAAAGTACCAATTGTCCACTGTATTTGCTTCACTCACGGTGTCAAAATCAGAAATTTGATAAAATCGACCGGAATTCGAATATAAGATATTATAAATTATATGCTTGGTCTATATACCAGCTTTGATAAGTGTTTTGTATTACTATAAATTTTCACTTCTTCGTACTAAGAACATCAAAATTATTTATTTTGTAAAAATATTTCCTTTCTCTATTTAAACTGTACACGTATACCTAACAACAAAATTATTTTCATTTACCTGTGTTAAAAGTAATTGCAAATGGCTGATATTTTTGTTCAAGCATATTGTTTTTCTTAAATTGTTTAACATTTCACAGCGGTATAACATGTTACTTTAATTATTCTTCTCTTAGTTTATTTATTTTGTATTTACATTGTAGCATAGATCAAATTTATTTGTTCAGTGTATGTTCACTGGTGTTAATATGTCTTTTGATTGAGGTAAGCCATTACAATTGATATTTTATAGTGTGTCTTTCTATGTTGTGATGTTACACTATTGTTTCAGATAAGGGTGAAGGTTTGGTACCATTAAAACGTTTAAACCCGCTGCAATTGTTTGCACCTGTCCTAAGTCAGGAATCTGATGTTCAGTAGTTGTCGTTTGTTGATGTGGTTCATAAGTGTTTCTCGTTTCTCGTTTTTTATATAGATTAGACCGTTGGTTTTCCCGTTTGAATGGTTTTACACTAGTAATTTTTGGGGCCCTTTATAGCTTTCTGTTCGGTGTGAGCTAAGGCTCCGTGTTGAAGATCACCTATAATGGTTTACTTTTATAAATTTTGACTTGGATGGAGCGTTGTCTCATTGGCACTCATACCACATCTTCTTATATCTATTAAAACGTGTTTCAGCAACATTACACATTTCCATAAAATCAAAGTGGCAAAATAATTATAAATTATTCAGTGCTATACATTACTGTTGAAGACAATTTGATGCATGTACTATATTGCAAATTGTACATAATTTTGATCTTTTTTTGCATCAAAGGACATATTCAACCAAAATTAAATGTTTTTTTTTTTTTTATCTTAAAGTCACTATATAGGTTGATATAAAAAAAAAGAGAACATTGTTTTTGGTTAAGACTCCTTCTAATACACTCATACATAAATAACATGAATAATTGATAATGGATGTTTTAGCTCTGTAATGAAGCTTGGAAATAACAGGAAAAACAAACCAAACTAGTTGTTGAAAATCAAAGTCCACAGGAAAAGAACGAGAAAATCTCCGAATTCTTTTAGCTACAGGTTATAAAATCAAGGATTTTACGCAAAAAAAAATAATAACTGCTATTCATTTAAAAGAGACCGAATGATAGAATTGTGAAATATAAGATGATATATAGCTCAGATAGAATGTTGTTATAATATAAAATAAAAGATGTGATTACCGTACATCTTGATCTTGTTACATAGAGAACTAGATAATTTCCCATTACATTTTTTAATATAAATAAATATGCTGAGCTATCTCTCCTTATAAATTATTCTATCATTTTAAAGGAATCACAAAAATTTCTGCATTTAAAAAAAGTCTTTTGATAAAATTGTGTAAAATTCATCATTTAAAGAGGGTAGGAATGCCATTTACCGTGAGGCGTCAAACGGTCATTTTTGGCTACCGTTAGCGTCAAATTGGTTAAAATTTTACCGTGATTCGTCAAAATATCTTTATCGTGATTCGTCAGAGGTCTCAAATAATTATCGTTACCGGTATTTTTGGAAAAAATTTAACGTGATTCGTCAAAATCAGTTGATTTTTTTATCGTCTAAAAGAAAGTGTACATTTTATCGTCATGTACCAAAAATTACCATTAACGTCATTTGGCAAGAATTTTTACCGTTATTTGTCATGAATGTACCGCCATTACGACCCTCTTTAAACAATGAAGAAAAAAAAACGCCAATGGGGTTTAGCGCTTTTAAATTCGCCACATTTTATATGTGCTTGTCCCAAGTCACGCAATATTACTGAAAGTCTACCTTATAAAAGGACACGGATTTGTATAAACAAAGGGCCACAGTTTTCAGTGTCATGACGTCATGGGACAGAGATCTGAGGAAAGGCCATAGATTTGAGGCTGGACATAGATTTGACTCTATATAATATTAAGTCTACTTCTTAAGCTATAGTGAAAAATATGAAAGTTTTTTTTTTATCTAGATAACAATTTGTAAGTGTAATGCGTTTCCATCTATAACTAATTTTACCCACCTTTCTTTTAGACGATGCAATTCTCCTATCTCTTTTTCTGTCAGCCTCTCCTGGAATAGTTTTATTCCAAATCATATACCCAATGTGGACGTATGCGCATATCATTATCAGTAAGGGCATGAAATACTGTAGTAATAGTATAATGATGCTGTAGATGAATCGTAATTGGTACATGCTCCATATTTCGATACAAATTCCGTTCGATCCTGGTTCATATGGCAAATATTGGATTTGAGAAAACATGGCTGTTGGCAAAGCAATTATAAATGCAAATACCCAGAGCAGAAGAACAAGCAATCTTGCTGTTCTTTTAGTCATTCTTGTATGGAGTGGTCTAGAAATAACAAAATTCCGATCACATGTTATGGCTACCATTGAAAATGCCCTTTGCAGAAATACCACTAGTTGAAGATATTGCACAACAGGGCACATGAATGATCCAAGCACCCAATACTTAAAAATCATATTGCTGAGAATAGTAGTTGGAATGCTGAAAATAGTCGTCAGAATGTCACTGATAGACAGACTTGCAAGAAAAAAGTTTGTCACTGTATGTAACACTTTCATATCGCATATGGTGTAACAAACAACGATATTCCCGCCAAAACTAACGACAGCTACGATGCCATATAAGAGCAGCATCAGAACAACAAATGATACCGGTAGCTGATTAATTTCGAAAAAATCATCTTCTTCTGCCCTCATCGGTTCACCAAAAGTAAATTGGTCCCAAAACGATATATTTAAAAATGTCGAGTTACATCCAATACAATGTATTGCATGAATTTTTGTTAAATTAGACTTTGACATTCTCTGTTTCCTTCCCCTACTTTCGATACGACGTCTCCTTCCAAGATTGGTTTAGGAATAAAAGACTGTGTTTGAAAAATTATCAGCTTTTAAACTGTGTTGACTGAAACCGTGAGGTTCAATGGTCAAACATTCATCAACCAAAAGTGTAAATTGAAACATCAATCCAAATGTCAAGACTTTTTAATATATTAAAGTTTAAGGCAAAAGAAGTTAACCTATTTTCAAATGTCATAAATAGGTGAAGAAGATACAAATTAAGGTAATAAAAGCTGAGGGAATTGCATTCCAAAAGGAGCAATACAGGATACGTCGACAAGGCATGCATCTCCCGCCATGCAAATCCACACTCAATCAAAATGTTGCAATCGAGAAAAGGACGCAATCGATAAAATAATAGACTATTCTAGTATCTAAAGATCAAAAGACTGCGAAAACACTAGAGAGTTACGACCCAGACACATCGTACCGGGCATAACATTCTAAATGGCGAGTTACGACCTAGACATATCGTACCGGGCAATTCATTCTTAATGGTGAAGTACGACCCAGACACATCGTACCGGGCAATACATTCTTAATGGTGAGGTACGACCCAGACACACCGTACCGGGCAATACATAAATGGTGACCGTAAAACCAATGTAGCGTCGACTTCATTCGTTCTTTCTTATAACTCAGTGTAAGCAGATATGGTGAAAGGAGCACACCCTTGTTAATGAAGTCTGTATAGTGTGAACATGCATTATCGTAACGTATTAATTGAGATATGTAAACACTATACGACGAGGCAGAGGATATGTTACTGCTGAGAAGTGAGATGTCGACAATTCGAAATTCGAACTCATCACGTTTGTCATAGAAGTCGACCATCTGTGTCAAATTCAATAAAAAGGTGAAGAAATGAAGTAGACCTTCTGATTTCGGTAGTATCCTTAATTTCAAGTTAACTGGGATATATGATATGAAAACACTCACTGAAATGTCGGTTGTTAACTGACAGAACATCATTAATATATCTGAAAATGACATTTAATAACCTTGCAAGTAACTTGTTTTGCCTCTGAAAAGGTTCTATATGAGTTCTTATTCATGTGAATACAAAAACAAGTCGGCAAGTAGGGGTGCACAATAAGAACCCTTTAGAATACCGACTTTCAGTTAAAATATCAATCCAAAAACCTCAACAAAAGGCTACGTTTTACAATAATAATATATGTCTACTTCGAATGAGGCTTTTTTCTGGTTTTTTTTCTTTTTTATTCATTTTGTTCAGTTTACTTGCCTTGTCTTTTGCTTTTTTGTTGTTGTTTGTTGAATTTTTATTAATTATGTTTTTTCTTTCTCTATCTTTTGGGAGGGTCGTTCTTCTTGAAATGTCTTTAAGTCAGTACAAGGTTGTCTTCAACTAATGGTACAATTGAAAAAAGCAAATGCATTTTAGGGGTTTTGACGTGAATATTCTGAAAACAAACGTTCGATGTTGTTCTATTCTATTTAATTTTAGTTATGTCTTATTTTGGAAACTATAAGATAAATTGTCTAAATAACGTTGAAAAACTGTTTTGTCTTTTAATTAGAGCAGTTCTTTTAAAACATAGGAAGTGTGACATTAACATGATTATACCGCGATGATAGATATTTTGTTCAGTATGGTTGGTTGTGTACAATTCAAGGATAAAGATAAATGTTTACTCTCTATATTTAGTTAAGTTTGTTTGTTTCTAATATTTTGTTAAGTTTGTTTTGTTTTTTTTATATTTTGTGGAGTTTAAAGATTTCTTATGCTAAGTAGTGATGATAAATTCGAATTGTGTGCCTGGAATTATAAAAACGTTAAAAATAAAAAATAATAGAAAATTTAACAATTTGTTATAAAGAATTACCCATATTTATTTTTCTATTTGAATATTTTAACTGCCAGTTTTGTTTCCAACCATTAATGAACATTACACAAATTAGTCTTCATGAATAATTATCAAATCAGTAATGTCATACATATTTTACAAGTCAAAATTTAATCCTTTTGTAGCGTATAGATTATTTAGAATTTTCGAAAATTATTTTAAGGTTTTGACATTTCAACCTACTCGTTCGTTTTCTGTGATCCTTCTTATATTTTCTTCGCTTCTTTTCTTCTAACATAGTTTTTCAGATGCTTTTGAAAGACTACATGGATTAATTTTTCGTCATTCCAAATTGAATTCTCTAAATATGCTGACATACGATAAATTATGTAAAACAAAAATGTACAAAACTAAACAGAATTTATTTTTTTATTGCATCTTAAAAATGGCAGAAATCGCGAGAGCAATTGTGCGTTTAGAATCAATATTATGCGAAGATTCTTTGTGCCAAGTTTCATGCTGGTATCATTCAGGGAACATCAGAGTTCAAATGACATGGATGTTATACATTTATTTCCCGACGGAGGGTGATATGAAGTTTTGTCCACACAAGAACATTATTATTTCCCGAGGGTATTGTCCGAGGGAAATTTGACTTTTCGAGGGTGAAGAAATCTTCATATCTTCCTAAGCCAATTTATGTTTTATTCCATTGCCTATACTTTTGTTTACTTCCTGAACATAAAATAAAATTTTACATACAAATTTTCTTATCCGCTTGGTTTTATAACTGAACACGACAAAAACATTGATAAACAGCACATTAATTTAATTCTGTTTTGTTTTTACGTCTGAAATATTTGAAAACACGATAATGACTGTACTATCGCGATTTTTAAAACTTTCAAAACGTTTTGTTCATTAACCGCGCGTTACGTCGTACGAGGTAGTCAAGGTGTTCAAAGGGGAATATGAAGTTATAATATACTGGAGTGAACTATCCCGATTAATCCTGTAATTTGGTTGGTTTTCCAAACAGTGGATATGAGCCTATGTACCATGTGAAGGAAAGCAATGATTAAAATGGTATTTAGTGTTGAAATCAGGACACACCAGTATAATATAATTGTTATTCCAGCTTCATAGGGGATATGGGCACAGGAGATATTAAACATTGACAGTTAATAGGAGCCCATATCCCCTGTGAAGATCCAGAATAACATATATTGTTCAATGTCATAAGATAGTGTCAACCAATCAAATGTTGATTTTGCTATCAATATTTGCATACAGAAGAATAAGAGCAAATATAGGTCATCGTACGTCCTTCAACAATGAGAAAACCCATACTGTATAATCAGCTATAAAAGGCCCCGACAATGTTAAATAATTCAAGCCAGTAAACTAAAGGCCTAATTTATAACAATACAATTTGCGAAAAGCAAATATGACAGACATGAAACTGGGCAACGAAAACCACTGAACTACAGGCCAGGCTCCTGATTTTTGATAGGCACATAAAGAATGTGACGGGAATAAACATGTTGCTGAAACCCCCCTAAGCAGTGGTGTAACAACACAACAAAAGAACAAACTGTAAAAATCAGTTGCAAAAGGTTTGGGTCAATAGATCGGTATGAAGGACAAAAAACCAACTAACATATTAATAAAAACAATGACACAAAGCACTGAAACAAGAGTACTCGCAGTGACTGAAAGCTATTTCAAAGCCAATCAAAACTAATGAATAGATCATGTTCTTACAGGCTAATGTCTTGCATTCGAATTGATCGTTTTATTGATAAAAAAAAATCAAAAATAATTGTTCTTATTATTGTTTATGAATAACAGTTTAAAGAAATTCGTATCTTTGCATTAAAAGATGTCCCACAAATTATGTCATTTATACCTGTATAAAAACAAAGGAGATTTGGTATGATTGCCAATGAGACAAATACCCACCGGAGTCCAAATGACGTGGATGTAAGCAATATAGGTCACCGTATGGCCTTCAACAATGAACCAAACCCATACCGTTCAATCAATATGAAATATATGAGATGTGGTATGATTGCCAACGAGACAACTACCAACCAGAGTTTACATAAGTGGTCACATTATGAAAAATCCCATACGATATAGTCGGCTATGAAAGGCCCAGATATGAAAAATGTGAAACAAGTCAAACGAAAAACTAACGGCCTAATTTATAACAAAATAATTTACGAAAAAAATATGACAGACATGTAGTCTATAAAAGACATGACCTTCCTTTGACAGTTTGCCCACACATACATGTCTGTACGTGGGTTGTAAAGTCAGTAAGTATGCACTGTGAGATGCCAATTAACACGACCTTTATAATAAGTCATTTCTGGTTCTACCAATAAAAAGTGTGTTCGATGTATTTAATTTCAAATTGAATAGTTAGAAATGGAAAAAGAGTTGAAGGAGGACACTTGCACTTGTCACACAAGCTTTTGGTTTTCATACTTACCCGTATACTTGCAACAACTCTACGAACGTCTTTCTACATTGAATAGCCGTGGTAACACCAATACATGACTTTGATATTATAATTCCTTTTGTCCTGAATTCAGTGTTGAATTGGACACTTTTAAATATATCTATCGTTCCTTTAGCGGGATTGTACCTCAAGTTGTTGAGATATCAACGGAAATACGCCTCCACTGTGTCTATTACACTAGATGGATAGATGGATAGATGGCTGTTTACTGTCCAGTGGCAAATTAAATGTATATTCAGGATGGCAGTACATTAGGCTCGACCATATAGACAGCAATTGGTATCATATATGGTTATGTCCTTTCTTGTGACAAAAGAATAACACATACCCCCGTCCTATCCGTTTGTAATAAGTTCCGGGTTTGTTTTCAGTAACACTAGCGTTCTTTGATACATCACAAATTGGTTGTAATACGATGTGTGGGTGTCTCATCTCACTAGCGATAGCGACATGTTTTTGCGGTCTTAGATCTTTAGATACCTGTATAGTCGTCTGATCTGTTATTTTACCGACTTAGTACTATTCCCGATTCTGACATTTTGACTAAGTGTGAATTCAAATGGGGGTGATGCATTCATGACCTGATATACTTATCCTGTTGATGCACCCGTCTCCCTCCTTTAAAGTTCATTCCCTTAGTTTTTGTTGGTTACCTTCATTTTTTTCTTCAACAGCCTAATCGATTTACGAGATTTGAACATCGGTAAACCTCAATTGACATTTATTGTGTTACTTGTATTTGTGATTGTTTGTTATCTGTTTTTATTAAAGATTCAATTGCTTTTCCTGTGCTTATTAGTATTGTTCGTTCTTTTATGTACATTGTTATTCCACAGATCGAGATGAAATAAGGGAGATTTGAGATCTAATAAGATCTAATTTTAAACTGCAATATTTTTATGTATATTTCCCAAGTCAGGTACCTAGTAAATGATCATATTTTTTTCATACACATATCTTAATGCTTTTGCCATTCACAGAACTTTGAATTGTTGCTAGATATTGAAAGGTCTCTTTTAGATATGGGCATAATTATTAATTACCTGTTTCTAAATTAAATTTTTCTAAATACTAAGGATGTTCTACCCCAGGAATAGATTACTTTGGATGTATTTGGCAAAATCTTTCGGAATCTCGGGTCTTCAATGCTCTTCAACTTCGTACTTTATTATTTGGACTTTAAAGCGTTTTTGATTTGAGCGTCACTGATGAGTCTTTTGTAGGCGAAACGCGCGTCTGGTGTACAAAATCTAAATCCTGGTATCTATGATGAGTTTATGTACGTGTATTCGCGACTTTTGTAGACGCAGGACGATTAGGTATTTTCATATTGTAAAACCAATTGCCCGTACGCTGACCTTTGAATTGATGTTAAAAATGTATAAGTATTACTTCAGATGGACAATAGTGAACTGAAAAGACAGGTGTTTGCTTATTAAAGATGACCTTCATAGGCGATTAACAGAATTGACTGTATATGAATATACTGTGAAAGCTCT